GCATGCTCAATTTCATGAAAAGCATAAAAATATCATTTCAAATCAGTTATACTTGTGTAAAACGGGTTTAGTCCCGCCACCACTTCAAAAACAAATCAAAACATGCTTATAAAACAGTACGGGCATTACCATAAATTTACTTACCTCACTCGCATAAACCGAACACTCAATTCACGCACTAACTGACATAACGATCGGGAACCTAATCAAAACACCTCAGAATTAATATCGGACTATCACAAATTCAAGCTGAAATCATCATTAGGATCATTCCTAATCATAATGCTATTTCCTATAAATCTCCACATGATCAAATATCTCCAAAATCATTCTCATATCACAAACTAATCACTTAAATTCCCGGTAAATGTTGGCCCTCGGGGTGTGAACAGTGCCTGTGAACAGTACCCCGACGTGAACAGTAACTGCACTTCCAAAAATTGGCCAAAACACTAGCTAATCACGGGGTTTTCTCCAAAAATATCACAACAATCAATTAACACTCAATCACATAAATCTCACTTCAATTAATACTTAAATCTCATCCTAGAGCTACCGGAATTATCCCCTATTTTTCTGTCAAATTCGGACATAACAAGGCAGCAAACTAAATGGGTAATTTTAAGCTTAAAAGGCTGTCAACATACCATAATTCTCAAGCAAGAACCGGACCTAGCAGGGGGAAGAAGGCCGGCGGCAATCTGCAGGGGGAAGCTCTCGGGTTACCCAAAATTGGAGGAAATAAGAGCATTTAACTTAAACCCAAGGCAATTAAAGCTGAAGAAGGGAGATTCATGGCTATTTCTTACCAAAAAACCGAACAAATCACACCCACAAAGCAGGAGCAGCCGGACGGTGAGGAGCAGAGCAAGGCAGATCCGAAAGCTTCTTGCCGGGGGAGAATTTCTGGGTTCCAATCAGGTTCTAAAGCAAGAAAAAAAGGCCAAAAAACCAAGCTTTCTATTGGTTTCCTCAAGGCATGGCTGGGTTTCTTTTCTTTTTTTTCCTCTCGGGTTGCAGCGGGAAGACAAGAGCAGAAACGGGCTGGAAAAGAAAGAGGAAAAGGGAGAAAAGAAATAAGCCATCCTTATCCAAATTCTACTCTTTTAAGCCCCTTGACTTTCAAAATATTCACATTAGGCCCCAAAACAATCTTTTCTCACAATCAAGTCCTTAACTTACACTTAAATATTCCCAAAAATTTGGGATATTACACATACAAAGCCTCATACGGCACCATGCAGATGCTGGACTAGTACCTATTATTATATGCAAATTCAGCCATAGATAAGTGTTGATCCCATGAACCTTTCCAATCTAGAACACAAGCCCTCAACATGTCCTCAAGTATTTGAATAGTCCTCTCGGACTGCCCATCAGTTTGAGGGTGGAAAGAAATGCTGAAATTTAAATGAGTGCCAAGTGCTTGTTGTAAGCTCGTCTAAAAATGAGGCAAGAATCTTGTGTCTCTATCAAACACAATGGACACAGGGACTCCATGAAGTTTGACTATCTCATTCATGTACATATTAGCAAGCTTGTCAATGGATGTGCCAGTTTGGTAGGGTAAAAAGTGAGCTAACTTGGTTAACCAATCAACGTTGACCTAGATCGAATCATTTCCTTTTAAGGTTTGTGGTAAACCCATCACAAAGTCCATGGTAATGTTCTCCCCCTTCCATTGGGGAATAGGCACAGGTTGCAGTTTCCCAAGAAGTCTTTGGTGTTCAGCCTTGACTTTTTAGAAAGTCAAGCATTGTGAGACAAATCTAGCTATCTCCCTTTTCATGTTCCGCCACCAAAATGTACTACGCATGTCACGATACATCTTGGTGCTACTTGGGTGAACTATGTAACTAGTATTATAGGCATCCTCCATGATCTCACGCCTTAAGGCATGATCTCTTGGTACCACAACCTGTCACCAAACCACAAGGTCTCATCATCAAAAACTTTGAATTCTTGCATGTGAGGTTCCCCTGCCTTTACCTTTTCCTTCAACCCTTGCAAGAAAGATCTTTTTATTGGGCAAGTTTAATTCTATCTATTAATGCTAGTTGTGCACTAAGAGCGCCTAGATAAGCTTTAGTACTGTCTAATCTCAACTCCACATCAAGTTTAGCAAGGTCTCAAGTAACTCCTTTTGGGTGGCAAAGATGCTAAAGGCAATGTTAAAGGACTTCCTACTCAACGCATCTGTTACTTTGTTGGCTTTGCCTGGATGGTAACTAATGGTTAGGTCATAATCCTTTAAAAGTTCAAGCCATCACCTCTACCTCATGTTAAGCTCCTTTTGAGTGAAAATGTACTTAAGACTCTTATGATAAGTGAAAATTTCACAAGTTTCATCGTATAGATAATGTCTCCAGATCTTGAGTGCAAATACCATAATTACCAACTCCAGATCATGGGTAGGGTAATTATCTTCGTAAGGCTTTAATAGCCATGAAGCATATGCAATAACCTTATCCTTCTACATCAAAATACATCTCAAACCCTTTTTATAGGTGTCACTGCATATGGTGAATCCTTCACCACTGATGGGAAGTGCAAGAACAAGAGTAGTGACCAACTTATCCTTAAGAGTCAAAAAGCTCTCCTCACACTCTGGAGTCCACTCAAATTTGGTGTCTTTCCTAATAAGACGAGTCATTGCAATTCCAAAGAAATCCTCCACAAATTGGCTGTAGTAACCAACCAATTCAAGAAAACTACAAAATTTTTGCAACACTGTTTAGTCATTTCCTATCAATTATGGCCTCAATCTTTTTCAGGTCAACCAAAATTCCATCCTTTATCACAATGTGACCTAGGAAGGCAACCCTATCTAGCCAAAATTCACACTTACTAAATGTAGCAAACAGTCTCTCTCTTTTTAACGTCTCGAGAATTGTCCTTAAGTACTCCCCATGAAAAGCATGGCTAAAAGAGTAGATTAGAATGTCGTCAATAAAAACAACCACAAACTTGTCCAAGTACCTACTAAGTACCCAGTTCATCAAATCCATGAATCTTGTAGGAGCATTTGTTATGCCAAAAGGCATGACCAAGAATTCATAATGGCCGTAACGGGTACAAAAAGCAATCTTTGGCACATCATTAGGTTTAATCTTCAACTGATGGTAGCTACATCGAAGATCAATCTTAGAAAATACTTGAGTGTCTTTGAGCTGATCAAACAGGTCATCGATTCTACGAAGTGGATATCGATTCTTCACAGTCTCTTTATTTAGCTCTTGGTAATCAATGCATAGCCTTATGCTCTTATCCTTCTTTTTAACAAACAACACTAGAGCTCCCCAAGGTGACACACTAAGTTGTATAAACCCTTTTTCAAGGAGTTCCTCAAGCTAGACCTTTAACTCTGTCAATTTTGCAGGAGCCATACGATACGGGGCTTTGGAAATAGGTCTAGTGCCAGGAACAAGATCAATAGCAAATTCGATTTCCCTATTCAGAGGTAAACTTAGGAGATCCTCTGGAAATACATCTACTCACACACCACAGGTATATCTTCTAATCTCGATGTCACACTACTAACGTCAATGACATAAACTACGAAAGCCTTGCAACCATTTATAAGGTATTTTTGAGCTTACAAAGCTGATATTAACATAGGTGGAGCAAAAGAACCATTGCCTTGGAAACTAAATTTTGGCTCATCAAGAATATTGAAAACTACCCATTTCCAATGGCAATCTATGGAGGCAAAATATTTTGACAACCATCTCATCCCCAAAATGATGTCAAAATTATAGCTATCTAAAATAAACAGGTCAGCACTCAATGTTTACCATTAATATAAATATTTACAATCCTACACACATCTTTAATAGTCATCACCCCTTCTAAAGGGGTGTCCACATGCAATTCAAGATCAGAGATATCAATAGGTAAAGCTCGTTTCGAAGCAAAGATCAAGCAATAAAAGAATGTGATGCACCTGAATCAAATAAAACATATACATAATCAGAATTGACAGGCAAAGTACCCATGATTACGTCTATAGCCGTAGCTTCCTTATGAGTCATCACATGAACTTTCACTTGCTGGGCTCTTGTCCTAACCCCAACATTCTGTTTCTGCATCCCCTGATTAGTAAAACCTTGTTGAGATGTAGTTTGAGTACTCTGAGCTCCAGGGTCCAATTGTGGGCAATTTGCAACTTGATGTCCATGCTTGTCACATCTAAAGCAAGCCTCAATGATAACGCGATATTGGTCGTGAGTGTGCCCAACTTTCCCACAAGCATGGCAAGTAGGTTGAGCAGAACGAGCATGGTGGGCTATTGACGCTTGGCCCACAGTCTTAGTAGCTCCTAGCTCTTTAGAAACTTTATTAGTGTCATACTTATGCAATGTATGAGCAAAAGGTCTACGGCTCTTATCAAGTTTTCTCTTCTTAAAAGATGACCCAACATCATGCTACTTTGATGACTTGACTCTAGCCATAGCCTTTTCCTAATCTATGGCTCTGTCTGCTGCCTTTCTATAAGTGGTGGGTTTGAATTGGTTCACCATCAAATAAATATCGAGATTCAAGCCCATAAAAATTTATCAGCCTTGGCCTACTCATTCCTGACCTAACTACCCACAAAAGGCAGGTAACGATCAAACTCCTTCTTGTATTGCTTAATAGTATGTGACCTCATACTTTAGATTAGCAAATTCCCTTTGTAACTCACACCTTTTGCTATGAAGTATGTGTTCCTGCATGAACACCTTCTTAAAATCATCCAAGTGCTTAATTTAGGTTCTCCATGGTGTAGCTTCAAGAAGTTCTCCCACCAAGTTAATGCTTCACCCGTAAGAATATAACTGCCCACATCAACCTTTAGGTCATCAAAGATTGTCAATAGGCGAAATACGATATCCACCTCAATAATCCATGACCCAACTTGGCCAAAACCCACTGTACCGTCACATCTCTTAGTCACCACCTCCTGGAATTCTGTATAGATCTTCCAGCTAGGTACATTAGGAGTAGAAGAGGTAAGAGTAGAAGCTGTAGGTGCGGAGACTATTGGTGATGGAGTTGGTACGCTATTGGCAAAAGATGCTTGGCGTTGGATCTCCACCATTAACTCCTAAACAAATGTGACCATTTGAGAGTTATTCGCCCCTCCCTCTTGAGGACCAGCCTAGGCAGAGGGACTAAAAGCCAAAATAGGAGGAGGGCCATCATCACGACCACCCCTCGTGGCCCTATGACGTTTTGGAGCCATCTATAATAATATAGAAGATTTATAGACAATTAACCAAGTATTCAAATGAGAAAATGCAAGGCAAAATCTAATACCAGAATCAAATGACACAATCATCAACAATCCAACTCACAACAAGGAGATTGAAACTTTAGAACCAAAATTAGAAACTAACATCCTAACTCATCATACTGCTAGGTAGAACTTAAGGACCTCTATATCCATGCAACATAATCGAGTAACAAGCCTTAGTAATGATCATAATAAATTTATTATTATTATATATATATAAGGAGCATCATGATCCAAGTGTAAAGAAAATTTATACAAGTCAAGAGTCCATTCGAAGCAAGAATAAAACAAGTGTCCTTGATTAACCCCACTCTCATGCCTCACCATGTTCCTATAGTTCATATGCTAATCAAGTTCTAAACTAGTCCTGGGTATTTAGTTAAACCTAGGCTCTGATACCACAAAATCTGTCACACCTTAGAACCAAGAGCGAAACAGACGTCGTACACTTATGAGAGGATCCCACGAGTCCCACGAGTGCACAAGGCTCAAACTTGCTTAATTCACCACTAGCAATCCATAACTAAGATCAATATCTTAAAATAAAATTTGACTTTCAAGAACCAAAGCTTTGCTAAGCAAAAAGTATACAAAAACTTATGCAAGTCCATCAGTATAGCCATTACTATCTCCAAAGGGAAATCTAGTCTACAAAAGAATGCTGTATTGTCCAAAAGCTATGTCATTTTTTTTTTTTGTTCATTTGGCGGCCTAACTCCAAAAGACAAGAGGCTAGTTTTCTAGCTCATGACTCCA